GGTGCAAATTCTGCAGCACTTTGAAACACACCACTCTATGCACGAGTGGGAAAAATCTGAATCCCCATGATGTTATTTGACTATGGAGATAATTATTTGGGGTAGCTATTCTGATAGCTCACATGGAGGCTCAGCTTGCAGTGTGGAGCTGTCTCTAATCATGATTGCCTGTAATGATGATTACCCAAACTCTGGAATTATAACAATAGATTTTACAAAGTGAGAGCCTAATTGCTCCTGCATTCCATATGTGATCACAGATTAAGCAACTTTGATCTTTCAGTCAGACTTTTGTTACTCAACTTCTGAAATAGCAAAGTTCAGAGGCATGACTTTCTGACAACCCCCATCCTTTTAAATCATAGTGATTTAAATTAGACTTGTTAAATCAATTCACCTGTGAAAGATATAAGGCCCAAAGACAGGTGGAGTAGAAAGAATATTATTGACCTGTGGTGCACAGATCCCAGCTCTGTTGTGTAGAAACTACGGAAAGTCTTTGACTTCTCTAAGACTTAGTTTCCTCAGTTGTAGAGATCTACCTGGCTGAATCATTGTATTAGTAATGAATACAAAACAGTTAATCAGCTGTTATGTCAGATTCGTGGGACCCCAATAGAATTCCAGGAGCCGAATCCGATGCAATCACACAAGAGTCTTTATTGCAAGCTCGAGCCTGGACTCACAACCGTTCCGACGAAGCAGTCCCAGGGAGTGAGTCCCGGTCCTTTGTTCAGTGAGATTTTATAGATTTTTGAGGGGATACTCTATGCGCCACAACATCACACAGCAAATCATTCCATATCGCAGGAAAGTCAAACAACAACTCTTAACATTGATTAGCACATTCACTGGTGGGAACAAGTTGGGTAGGGGTGATTGGTTAGTACAAGAGGGGGATTCCTTTGAACTGACTGGTTTAGGCCACGAGGGGTGTACGTGCTAAACTACATGGTTTCCCAACATGTTATCAACCACCATAAACTACTTGGGGGTCATCTGGCATTCCAGGTATTTTCCCTGTCTCATGCTGATTGGAGGTTGCTAGGGGGGTTGCTATGGGTCCTAACCTAGCCTAAGTGACTAGTTAGTTAGGCTAGAGCCTCAGACCTCTCCTGATATTTACAGAAAAACAACTCAGCAGGGTGGGTATGTGCCTAGGAGTGCTCTGGGGTTTTTTCCAAGGACAAGGGTCATGCCCCCTTCCTTGGATAGGTTTTGCTCTGAGGTAGAGGCTGGTTTCTCAAAAATGGAGTCACATTAGTTTTTCAAAGCAACTTAGTGAGACCCTGTCTCAAAATAAAAAGAATAAAAATGGCTGTGGATGTAGCTCAGTGGTAAAGATCCTCGGGGTTCATTTCCCAGTACCAATGGTGGCAGGGCGGTGGGTATGTGTGGGTAAAGAATAGGCCATCCTAAAGAAGGGACACTCCAGCCTGGCACACCTTAGTCCTGAGCAAGCACTGACGAATTCCCCCACCGTACTCTGCCTCGGGACTCAGCACTGAATTCCCCCTTATTCAAACACTCACTCGATGCTGAATGTAGTTCTAGAATGCTCTGGGATTTGGCATTTTTAGGAGGATCCTCAGTGATGTAGAAAACAAGTGGTTTCGGGGCCAAACTGTTTGCTGCTTATGTCTGCGAATCAATTTGTGCTTTAAAAACAAAACAACATCATAAACTGCTTCTGGATGGCCCAGCTCCAATGACCACAAACAAAGAGCAGAGCCAGCCTGATTTTCTTGAGAGGGACAGAGAGGACAGTCACAGAGCCTTGCCTATCTGAGTGTCTGGGCTTGAGTATCCTGCCAATCCCCGCACCTACAGGTCACCCCAGACCGATGCTGTCACAGTGAGCTAAGGCTGGCGTCTGCCCTGCGCTGGAGACGCTAGAATGATCCGTGAGGCTGGGCCCTCCACTGGCCACCCATGAATCAGCCTACACTGCCTCCCTGTTCTGTTCTTGTCCCTGCAGAGCAGGAAGCACTTGAACTGAGCCCAGCCAGGGCTGATTCGCTTCTGGCTAATGGCTTTTCTGTGTCATGTGTTGACCTTGGTACTATACATTTTTTAATATGTGAGTGAGTTGGAGCTTTTGCAGATGGTCTGATGTTGGCCCAGCTCTTCTGTAGTAAACCCCACACACTTGAAGATAGGGACTTTTGGTTAAGGATGTCTGTTCCTGAATCTAGTCTACCCCTTTTAAAAAATTGAGATGAAAGTCACGTAACAGCAGCATCCAGAACTTCTGTAATGTTGTGCTTCCTCCATTGCCATCCAAAACACTTTTGCCCCCCCACCCAAAGAACCCTTATACCCATTGTACTAATTTTCTAAGGCCAAATGACTAACACCATGTGTTCAGTGGCTTACAACCATAGACAGGTATTATCTCCCAATCCTAGAGGACAGAAGTCTGAAGTCAAGGTGTCGGCAGGGCTGCTGCTTTCTGGAAGCTGTGAAGGAGAGTCTGTTCCTTGTACATGGCCATCATTTCTTCACTTTTTTCTGGCCTCTCTGACTCTGTCCAAATTCCTCTTTTCATAAGAAGGACACCAGTCACATCGGATTAGGGCCCGTCCTAATAACATTTTAGCTGGATTACCTCTGTAAAGACCCTATCCCCAAATAAGGTCACATTCTGAGGTTCGGACTTAACCATGTGAACTTTAGGGGACATACTTCAACCCACCTTTGCCCAGTAAGCAGTTTCAGCATAAGTATGTCATTCTTTTTTATGGCTAAATAATTTTCCATCAAACAAACATATATTTTTTTCAACATCAAGTCCAAAGTACCTGACAGTGAAGGCCATGCCCCTGAGCAGCTAAGCACCCTATTCAGGCTCCTGTTCCTGTCAGTGTAAGGTGGGGCGTTGATCTCTAGGTGTAGCTCTCAGATCTCCAATCTGTGAGCTTGTTCTTACTGCCCACTTTGAAAGAGCATTATAGTCTTTTTTTTTTTTCCTTTTCCTTTTTGGGGCCTTTATTTTTGTTTATTTATATTGGCGCTGGAATTAAACCCAGTGCCTCACCCATGCTAGGCAAGCACTCCACTACTGAGCCACAATTCAGCCCTGAGCATTGTAGTCTTTGGAAGCAAAAGTAAAAGCAGAACTGGACCTCAGGGAAGCCAGGTCAAGCTTTTGATCCTGATCCTAATTCATCTTTAAAATGGACTTGATCTTCCAGTTTCCTCTTCCTGCTCTTATCCTCAGCACTCTCTTCTCCCTGCATCTGCACAAATGCACTCACATTGAAAGCATTTTTAAACACAGACCTTTCTGAAGAGGGGTGTGGCCCAGATGGGAAGCATAGTCCTTAGAGAAGACCCAGCCAGCTCCAGCCCACTCCTGTCGTCATGGTTACTGGGCCTGGTCCCTCAGCCTGGAGCTCCTTCACACTCCCCTCCCTGCACCTGCCTCAGCACGAGAGGGTCCTTCCACCGCATGTACACTGCTGGCTCATTCATTTCTCTCTTATGCACGTAGGCCCGGGAGATGTCTGGCCGGAGTCCTTTTGAGAACAAACCAGAGTCGTCATTAGCTTGCTGCAGACTCAGGCCCTGCTCCCAAGTCTCAGAGTCTTGGTGGCAATGACTTCTGTCTGTGTTACCTCACGCCTCATCTGCAGGAGGGACTGAGCAGGGTCACATCATTCTGCCTCTGACCCTCAACAGACTAGTTTCTCATGCAAACATCGTTTTCCTGCCTCCTGTCTCCTCACCCCATCAAAATAATTTTGTCATTTTGAAAGTGCACTGGGGAGCGAAATGCCTGCTGGCCCCAGCATTTTCAGAGAGGCAGGAAGGAGAGTGAAACATCCTGAAGAATAGAAAATGTTCCTATTGTATGTTTCTCCATTTTGTCATTTTTAGAGTAGGACATGTGGCTTCTGGGACTTGGGCTGGGAGGCCAGGCACCTACAGTGGAGTTGAATGAAAAGGAGTTAAAGATACTGAGGTGGGTTCTCACGTGATGCGCCCTTTTAGAGCTTAGGATCTTAGACTTGGTTCCAGCCATTGTTGGCTAGGATATTCGGAGCTTGAAAAAGCTTCCAGGATCCCAGCATCTTGGGAGGCTGAGGCAGGAGGATCACAAATCCAAAGCCAGCCTCAACAAGTTAGCGAGACCCTGCCTCAAAATGAAAAGGGCTGGAGATGTAACTCAGAGGTTAAGCACCTCTGGGTTAAATTCCCAGTACCCGCCCCTCTCTCACCTCAAAAAGCTTCCAGGAAGCCAGGCACAGTGCTGCACACTTGTAATTCCAGCAAACTCTGGAGGTTGAGACAGGAGGATCACAAGTTTGAGGCTAGCTTTAGCAATTTAGTGAGGCCCAAAGTAACTTAGTCCCTATCGAAAAATAAAAAAAAAAAGGGGGGGGGGCCAGGGATGTGGCTTAGTGGTTAAGCTTCCGTAGGTTTAGTTTCCTGAACTGGGGAAAAAAAAAAGTTTCCAGGTGGTGTCCAGTTGCCTGTGAGAACTGCTATCCTAGGGCCTCCAGGAGAGGTGAGCACCTCCAGGGGTAGTAGAGGCACATAATCGTCCACGTCCAGCAATCCTGCTGGTTAGGCAGAAAGCAGGGACAGAAGCAGCACACCCTAGGCAGCCTTTGGCCAAGCCAAATAGGACATTAGCTCCACGTAACCCTTGGGACCAGGATGGAGCGCGAAACTCCTGCACTCCCCTCCCCTGCTGCTGTGGAAGGACTGGTCAGCGCTGAACCTTACAGACTGCCGCCCCCCCCCCCACACCCCCAGGAGCACTTGCCAAGGTGATGCGGAACATTTGCAGGAACATGCCGTTTCTGCATTGTGCTCACAACTAGTTCTCTTCCCCGCTCCCAGAGAAAAGTCACATTAGGCACGAGTGCCTGCTTTCTTCTCTCGGCAGAAGGTGCTGATGTCATTAGTTGCTCCGGCGCCACGGTGGGAGGGGGATCTGTCAGAGGCAGGCTGGGGGGCTGACCTCTTTGTCTCTGTCTCTGTGTGCTTTGTAGTACAAAATTGGACAGCTGTACATGATCAGCAAGCACAGCCACGAACAGAGTGACCGAGGAGAAGGGGTGGAGGTCGTCCAGAATGAGCCCTTCGAGGACCCTCACCATGGCAATGGGCAGTTCACGGAGAAACGGGTGTATCTCAACAGGTGAGTCACGGCAGTGGGCCATACACACAGGAGGCCCTCGCACCCGAGCCCGTGGTGCCATTGAGATAAAGGCTGTGAGTGTCCAGGAGAGAAAAGGTCACTTGGAGAGCCATTCACCCACCCTCTAAAGCCAGCAATCTCATTGCTCCCAAAAACAGACCCCACCCTCCTTGCCTTCTGTGAAATGGACTCCAGCTGCATTTTCACTGGAACTCACCTCTTCCCTTTCCCACCCTTGGATGACACAAGATGAAATCTGACCTTAGGAATCAAATGACTTAGCCTTGTCCCTTGTTTGGCTTCAACTATAGAAAAAGATGCCTAGAAACTGTAGGGAAAGTCTGAGGGTGGCAGTGGTCTTGATGAGGAGGATTTCTATTTACTGTCAAGCAGCTACTCAGGTGTCCACAAAGAGAAATGTCAAAATGAATAGGCACCTGTGACCAGAGTGATAGTGAACCCAACTTTTCCCAAGTGGAGGCTGTCACTCTGCATTGGAAAGGAATCAGAAATCATCATTTTCTAATGCAAAAATACCATTTGTTTTGTGAAATGTATTCTTCATCTGGTGGCACAATTGATTATTAGGGCTCGTCTGGTCTTATCCACACCCAGTATACCCAGCCAGGCCTCCTTCTTCCCTTCACTTCTTTCCTAGGTTACGTGAAATACATTGTACTAAAGTTAGCTGTCAACCCCAGCAAACCAGTGTGGTATTAGCTTTTCCACAGCTGACTTTATACCCAGCTGTGGCCTCTCTGGTTGGCCTATTTGTGATTATTCAGAGCCTTTCCAACTTACTCGCTGGACAGCACCCCCAGTTTATTCACTGACCCTGTGAATATTCATCCATTCTCCATGACTTGTATGTGCACAAACGATTCTCAGGAGCCATATTTGGATTTCACCATTCCAACATGGGCTTCACTCTCTGGCAGGGTGAAATAGACCATTCTGCGTTGTACTTTGGGTTCTGTTAGCAGAGCAGGTAGAAGTTCCAGGCCAGTATCTTGGTGGCAATGGCCTGGAGCTGATAAAACCAAAGCCTTTTTATCTGCCCAAAGATGCAGTAGCAGGGAATTCCTGAGTCATAATGAAATGCAAATGAGATCGATCCCATTCATTTATTAGAAGCTGTGAATTCCCAGGATTTGGAACCAGTTCTACCAGCTGTTGATTTACAAGGAATGTCTGAGCTCTGGGTCTGGCCTGAGGATCGCTTCCTTACAGAGACAGATTTCTCTATATGAGGTTTGGCATTCTTTGTGTGGAGGGTGTGAAGCAAATATTGAACAGTTTTCCCCTTTGGGATCACCTCTGTAGAGCAAGAAGAAGTGAAGGAAATGCAGGAAAATAGAAACTATGGAAAATTCCGTTTCTTGGCAGGCGATTACATTCTCTTAAGTTATTGCCTGGGGAATGTTCTCTATGTACCAAAATCAAGAAAAATTTTAGAAACTTTGTAACTTTTGCTGAAACAGAATAAGAAGCATCCAGCTGTCTCTGTCATATCTGTTTTCTCTATCAAAATATATGATATTTATTTTAAAGGCGAGTCATAAACATCAGTAAAAAGGAAATTTGTTATAAATAGAATATGTGGACTTCCAGTAATAGTAACTAAAAAGATTAATGTAGACCCTCCCCCACTTCCTATGACAAACACAGGATGAAATATAACAATATAAAGCTGGACTCAAAACAAAGAAGGGGAAATCCTCAGGTAATAGAGAACGGGGGAGACTTGAACCGCAGTGGTAAGCATACCAGTGAGTGACGAAAAAGCCATGGGACATCAGAATCCAGCGTAGGCCCTGACAACTTGGGGTCAGGGGTGTCATGCCATAAGGGGGCAGGAAATGTGGCCTCAGGCCCACACAAATGGGAAGTTGGAATTGAGAATCGGGCATAAAAATCAATCAAGGGCTGAAAGGGATTACTACCCAGAGATCCACATTGAAAGAACTACTGAAGGATGTTCTTAAGTAAGAGGAAACTGAGTTCAGGAAGGAAAGAGTTATCTAGAAGCAATAAATAAATTGGTAAACATTTGAGCAAATATGAATGAGCAGAGAATGTTTTAAAAATACTAACAATGACTAATTGGGGGTATATTTATAGAATCTAAGTAATAGACAATAGAAGATAAAGGTAATTATGGTAACAAAAACGCTCTTAGGTGCTAATATTGTTTAGGAATGACAGAGAAATGTTTGTTGATTTAGTCTTTTTAAGGAAGGTAAGTACTCTCAGAATGTAAAGTGAGGGACTAGTAAAACAATAAATAACTTCTGAAAGAAAACATACTCAATCCCTAGAAGGCAGGGGAATTAAAAAGGGAAGCCAGCTGTGGATGTTGCCCGGTGTTAGAGCATTAGCCTTGCAGGCATGTGCCCCTGGATTCAATCTCCAGCATCATAAAATAGATAGAAAGAAAAAAAAGGTATGCCAAACACAAAACATATATTTTTGATGTCAAACTAAATAAAAATCTCAGATACTCTGTTATTCCATTACCCTTGGAGGTAAGATCATGTGACCTAGTTCTGGCCAATTAAACATAAGGTCTTTCCCCAACTCCCAAGAGAAGGCTGTTCAAGGGACTCTCTCCTATTCAAGAGGGATATGATCTTTTAAGAAAGGGAGGAGGACCCTCTCAATTCTTGCAGTTCTGTTTCCCAGTTGATGCCAAGGCCAAAAATAAAATCCTTTTAACATAGAGGATCAGTTGCTTATATGATTTCATGCCAGTGTTTTCTTTATTGTTTTATAATAAAACGGCCTTAAGGAAAGAAAATGAAGAAAAAAGAGGTGACTCAGGAGGGTGACCTCTGGGAAAATAATTGGTAGAACCTACCACATGAATCTTGATAACAAAACTGAACAACAATAGGACAAAAAGAAAATTTATAGATGAATCTCAACTAAAAACATAAAATTCCTGTGTAAAACATTAGCAAATCAGAATAATAACAACAAACCATGACTTGCTCAGATTTATCCCTGAAATTAATTTAACATTTAGCCAGGCATGGTGGAGCATGCATGTAATCCCTATAAAACCTACACGATTTATTGTACATTGTAAGTTTTAATAAAATTTTTAGTGAATTATGAGTATGGTGTTGTCTTGCCAACATGATTTGGGAGTCTAAGGTAGAAGGATCACAAGTTCCCGGCCAGCCTCAATAATTTAGTGAGGCCCTAAGCAACTAGCAAGACTCTGTCTCAAAATAAAAAATAAAAAAGGGCTGGAATGTGGCTCAGTGGCCCCGAGTTCAATCCCAGGTACCAAAAATGAAAATAAATTAGTAAATTAACATTTAATAAGTCTTTCTGTGTACTTTTCCACAGTAGTCAGGAACAAAATAAGGATCCTTGTTATCACCATTTCTGTCTCACATGTGAAAGTCCTGGTCAATGCAATAAAACAAGGAAGGAAAGCTGCGGGTGCAGCTCAGTGGTAGAGTGTTGGCTCAGCATGTACAATACCCTGGGTTTGATCCCCTAGCCCCCTCACACAAAGCAATAAAAACTTATTAAAGGAAAGTGAGAAACAGAGTTTCAATTGCAAGATATGATTGACTAACGGAAATTTCAGACATCCCAGATAGGTTAGCATCATATAGGAATGCAAGATTGCTGAGTATAAATTAATATACAAAAATCAATCGAGACCAGAAGATAGTAATGCCGGAAGAGAGATGTAGGCTCCATTTTTAGAAGACATTTTCCAACACACAAGTCATCTGAGAATGTGGTTGGTGCCTTATAGTCAATTATGCTGTTGTGGGGTTACTCCGGCATAACTGGGACACTCATAGGGTGCCTTCGCAGATTTAAACACCAGACAGGTAGTTAAACACAGTAGAGGGCTGGTTCAGTGGACAATCTGGAAGACCCTTCAGAACTCTCTATATTCAGAGCATTCAGTAGACATTATCCTGACTCTCGCTCAGCATACACAAGTAACCACAGAGGCAGAAGAAAAAAGAAGTATTTTTAGTTTCCTTTATACGTCTAAACTGGGTCCATCATTTTATAATCAAAAAGGCTTTTGACTTTTTTCAAAGAGAATAGGCATACATTTTAGGACCAGGGAGACTATGATTTAGCAATAGAGAAAGAATAATGGCAGGACTATGAATTAATAAGATGAATTCCTGTAATCATAAAACCAAAGCTATTACTTGGAAGTCACAACTCAGTGCCTCCTCAAACTAACTCCTGTCCTGCACGCAAAGTTGTTTGACTACCATGTTGGCAAGACAACACCATACTCATAATTCATTAGAGTTTTATTAAAACTTACAATGTACAATAAATCGCTCAGGTTTTATAGGGAAGCCCTTAATGAAGTAAGAACAGTCCTATCTCCTGATTGAGGTAGGGTCCAAGGATACCTGGTTCCCACATTCATGAGTCTACCTGTCCATCTTGTGAGTGTTCATAGGAGAGCAGGTCCTAAGAATGGACTGGCAGTAACTAAGATGTTCCCAGTACCCACTTAATAATTCACATTATTAAATATAGTCTCCTATGAACCTGAATTCATGAGCTGGCTAAGTGAATGGATCTATATGTGAAGTCAAATCGCATTCACAAACTGCTCTGTTACCCAAGGTTACTATTAGAGGCACTGGAAATATTCAAAGACTGTGTAATCATGACCTACTCTCCAGTTAATGTGGAAAGAAGAAAATTGCACAAAGGGGAGTTAGATTCAACAATAATTATTATCAAGCAAAGCCCAAACATCTGTGTTCTCTCTGGCTGGAGCATAAGTTACTTAAGCTGAAAAAGCAGAAATAGAGGCTGTCTTCTAAGCAGAAAGAGTATTTCATGGAATAATATTAGGGACCCACAGAATTATCTGGAGGCAAAAGAATGGGCAGGAATCCGATGGCTCCAGAGGACCAAGAGCGCCGTGATGACCTCCATCTCCAACTACAACCAGACTGCTTCCTTCTGCCACCTCTGCTGCCTCCAGCCATCACCAC